AACCTGTATTATGGGAGAAAAAAAACTCCTCTCTTGAAAAGATAGCCTGCTTTCAATGAACCCCCGGGGGGGTCATAAGACACGAAGTGTGCTCGTCCATGTCTCTTATCATTACTCATGCTCCTTTTCGTTCAATATATTTGCTATGAAAAAGGGCCATTGCCTGAAAACATCACCCGAATTGTTTCATTTTAAGGCCCCACACTGTTGTTGACGAACGTGTTGAGTTTGTTTTTGTTGGTTGTGCCTCTGCATCACTGCCAACCCAGCAGCATCACCAAACAGTTTCCTGCATCGTGAGCTGTTTCAAAAGCAAAAAAACCAACAAAGGCAGTGGTTTCCTGCTCGATTAAACATTGGGAAGTGCTCATCTCCGATTTACAACAAAGGACAGTCCTTCAGTTTCATTCCACGTGCAAAACAATCGTTAGAAAATAACCGGACAAACATTCCACCGCGTCACTCCTGCGAGACAGGAATTTGAGATAAAATGAACCCATGGCTGAATAAAAACAACTTAACACACTCTTTGGTTCTTTCGGTAAAGTCACGTAGGTATAAAATAAAATTAAATCACGACGTTTTGGGCGCAACACAAGCGTCCGTCATCAGGTGGGACAACCACAGCAAGAAACAATTGCTAAAGTGGGCAAAAGGGCTGCTGTGACAAGAGGCTTTATAGGTAAGAGAGGGGAGGAGAGATAGAGAGGGGGGGGGGGTGTGGGGTAGGGGGATTAGGAAAAGGGCGAGGACGACAAAATACCGGGGGGGGGGGGGGGGGGGGGGGAGTGAGCGGGGCTGGGAGTGGGAGGCAGAAGAATCTGGAGATGCGGATATGAAGGCAACACCATGAAGCAGTTAAGGTTTTATCTGGTTAATAACATCCTTCCAATGATTGCTCAATATGTATCCATCTTCTCGGTTGAAGTTATCTCTATGTTTATATATCTGGATGGCTTCATGAACAAACCTTTGATAGTAGCCCGAACGTTTGCAGAGTACCTTGGTCTCGGAAAAAACGATATCATTAGAGCCCACAGCGTTATAGCAATGGTCAGCCACGGCGGAGGAATTGGTTCTGCCGTGTTTCAGATCTGCCTTGTGTTCGCGAACACGGTCCGAGATATGTCGTTTCGTTTCCCCAATGTAACACCCACCACAGGTGCAACTTAGTTTGTAGACTCCAGGATATCGCATGTCAGGAATGACATCTACACAGATGGGATTAGATCATGATTTTGTGTATTGTACTGAATCGGACCTGGATCTTGTGTTTGTTTAAGATTTTGGAAATATTTTTGGTAACACCTGCTATGTATGGTAACGTGATGGTTTTGATCAGCGTCTCAGGGGGTTGTTTCTCCATGGTTGGAGAAACAGCTTTGCGAATAATGCGGTCCGAGTACCCATTCATCTTGAGGGCCTGGTGTACGTGTTCCAGTTCACTGGCCAGGTGGTGTTGGTCAGAAATGCAGTGGGCCCTATGGTGTAGTGTTTTGATGAGGGAATCCTTCTGTTCCAGATGGTGGTGGGAATCAGGTTTCAGATAGGAATCTGTGTGGGTGGCTTTCCTGTAGACAGTGTCCCAACGAGCCATCAGGTCTCTTCTCAAACAAAACATCCAGAAATTGTAGCTTACCATCCTTCTCCACTTCCATGGTGAATTTGATGGATGGGTGTATGGAATTAATGTGGTTGAGAAATTGGTTCAATGCTGGCAGATCATGTGGCCAAATGACAAACGTGTCATCTACATATCTTTTCCACAAGGAAGGACGTAGGGTGGATGTCTGGATGGCAACTCAACACACTCGTCAACAACACCACCACTACCACCAAAAATAGTGGGCCTTACCTGGTAAACTAATAATAGTTTTTGTTTTGTTTTATATGTGACGTTTCAGGCAATGGCCCTTCAACATTGACGAGTGTGTTGATTTGTTTGTTAGTTGTGCACAACTGCCAAGGCCGCATCAACCAAATGTTCTGCTGGAGAGGTACATGCCAATTTGCGTCAGTGATGGAAATTCCACATGACTATGACCGGGGCGAGTGTTTACACAAGATAATCGCTGCGGACATCTTCACAAAGTTATGGAAATGTTGTCAGCTGAGTCGGCTTCCAACTTTGATTTGAACTTGAAACCTTCCCATAGTGAGCGCACGCACACGCAGCCAGATGCATGATCTGGTCTACATTTCCAAAAAGTTTAATAACTGTCCTTTTTTACTGCACCATCATTCTTCTAAGCCCACTCCAAGTCCATATTTTTTTTCACGTTTGTAAGTGTTTTTTGTCACATGTTGCGAAGTAATACCAATCGACGGCATCGAGCATTATAAAAATGGCGTCATTCATAACCGTCGGCTTAACGCTCAAGTGTGATCACTGAGAGTCAAGTTCTTAGTTATACAAGTAAAATTTTAAAAAACACAGCAAGACATTTCCAAACAAAACAATATGATTTTAGCTGGGGTGGTGTTTCAATGCACAATACTCACCACTCTTTATAGTACATTTTATTGGTAATTATAGCCATACTCATCCCCTGTTATAATGGATTTGTTAGTTTATTTTCCGACAATTTTAAGTTACTTGAATATTTAAACGAAACAAATGGTGAATAGAGTCTCAGACATTGTTGATGAAATATAATTAGTTTTGTGGATATATTTCACCAGGAGAAAGAAATATTTTGGAAATCTAAAAAAATACTTTCTCATTCATTATCTCAATTCCTCTCCAGCAAAGCATTTGGTTGATTCTGCCTTGGCAGTTGTGCACAACTAACAAACAAATCAACACACTCGTCAATGTTGAAGGGCCATTGCCTGAAACCGTAAAACGTCACATATATTAAACAAAACAAAAACTATTATTACTTTACCAGGTACAGTAAGGCCCGCTATTTCTGATGGTGTTGTTGACAAGTGTGTTGTGTTGTTTTTATTCAACCATGGGTCATTTGATCTCCAATTCCTGTCTAGCAGGAATGATGCGGTGGAATGTTTGTCCGATGCTTTTTGAATGATAGTTTTGCACGTGGAATGAAACTGAAGTACTGTCTTTTGACAAAAGCTTACACGCTCAATAGAAGTGTGCACTGAAAAGGCCTGCGCAGAAAGGGTCATGATCCCACTTGCTGCACTGAATCGCTGTCTCCTGGGCCACCTCACTGTTTAGCAGGCCTGGGAGTCTCACAAACCTTGACGTAATCCACCAGCCATTGCCTCCAATATACTAAATTATAGTCGAGCGCCACTACCACCGTGCACAGCAATAAAAATGTGCAAATTAAAAAGATGTGACTATGCGGAGGGAGCAGGACACGTGTGCACGTGCATGAGTGCCTGGGGAGCGGTAGCGTCGCGGTCAGCGCTACGCTGCGCTACGAACCCGGCGACCTGAGTTCGATTCCCGCTCACGGCCAACACCAGTGACGATTATCTGAGCCGGTCCTGGGCCTCTGCTAGGCCGACAGAGCCTCAAGTGAGTACCTGGTATGGTGTGTAAACATCGCCACTAAGGAGACAAAGGTGGCCAGGCGTGGTGCTGGCCACCCACCACCTCGTGTGCCGTGCGAGCCTTCATAGGTGCTCGCTAACAGCACTTGCCCCAACAGTCTGTTAAGGCTATACAAGGTTTTCTTTGTCTTTGGTGTGGGTGGTACCCGTCAGTTCGGTTCTGGGTAGACAAATGTGGCTCGGGCATGTAGCTGACCACGCAAACCTCCTTGTGCTATTCGCCAACAGCACCCGCTCCAAACAGACCCTGTAGGCTTTTCGAGATCTGCGTCGCTCTCGAATGCGTTTTTTTTGGGGGCATAATCCCCAATTTTGCTCCACGTACTTGGGAGCTTCTTGACCGGCTAAGTCTTCACTTCGTGAAGAAGATCCCAGCACAAGGGGCGCAACGTGTTGCACATCGTGCCGAGAACACGCGGCGCAAGCCGATAGCACATCGGAGAGCTGTCCAGCGCAAACTTGAACACTCAACACAGACAGGGTATCGTCATTGTCGTGGGTTTTGGTGGTTGAAATTTGCCGGTGTAAGACGGTATGCCACGGAACACCAAGCATGTACAGGATGGTCCAGCTGTCTTGTGACCCCCATTTAATTATCTAAAACTTAAATCTTTTTTTTTAAATAAGGTTGATTTAAAACAGAAATTCATACGCAAAGGAAAACAAATGTCAGGGGTCAATTAATTGGGGGTCACACGTCATCTGGGACCACCCTATCCACTGGTACTTTTCAGAACGGTGACTATTCCTGGGCTATTTTCCCACAGAGGAGAAACGACAGTGAACATTGCCTTCTCGGACGAATAGGTTCCATAGCGGCACTTGGAACTCATACATTTCGCGAACTCATAAAAAAAGGTTTTATGGGTTAGATCGCATAAATTTAAATGTGTCGTTAACCGACCACCCCGCGCCCACCCGACACAGCGACTTGGTAAGGTTTGTCACGTAAACAAAACGTGCCAATTAATTACTACTTCAGCACACCGGTACGTTGGACAGTCAAGCCACATTTACAATTTGAGTACGACGTTTCGCTGGTAATTACAATATTGGTATTCATAATGAAAACCTTTCTCGCGAATAATATTGGACTCGAAAGCCTCCGTGTTAAATGTCGCCACCTCTCTGTGCCTGCGTAGGCCCCGGTAGCTGTGGGGAGCGGTAGCGTAGTGGTTAGCGCGCTGCGCTACGAACCCGGCGACCCGAGTTCGATTCCCGCTCACGGCCACCAACACCACCAGTGACGATTATCTGAACCGGTCCTGGGCCTCCTCTCGGTCGACTCAGCCTCGAATGAGTACCCGGCGCGGAGTGTAAAAGCATCGCCGCTGGGGATACAAAAGCGGTCGGGGGTGGTGTTTGTCACCCTCCTCCTCGTGTGCCGTGCCGGCCTTCATAGGTGCCGCTCGCTAACAGCACTTGCCCCAACAGTCTGCAAAGGCAACATGGGGAATCTTTGTCTTTTGTCGTAGCTGTGTCCCACGTGTGGCCTGAGCGTGGGCGTGGAGGAGCCGGCGGTGCTGGCTCGGCTCGGGGCCGACCCCCTGGCCTGGCACCCCGCCTGCTTCTCCTGCAGCGAGTGCTCCGAGCTGCTCGTCGACCTCATCTACTTCCCGCACGGGGACCGCCCGCTCTGTGGCCGCCACTACGGGGAGGCACTCTTCCCACGGTGCCCGGCGTGCGACGAGGTAGGGGCGCGGGGGGAGGGTCCATCCACTCCTTCTCCCCTCCCTGCCAGCCCCCTCCTATCCCCCCCTACCCACCTCCCACCCCCCCTACCAACCTCCCCCCCTACCAACCTCCCTACCCACCCACCTCCCACACCCTACCCACTTCCCATCCCCCCCTACCCACCTCCCCCCTCCTACCAGCCTCCCCCCCCCTACCAACCTCGCACCCCCTTCCAGCCTCCCAACTCAAGCTTCAAGGTCCATAGTGTAGCGCGCCACCCATCCACCCGCATCACTCAGAGGTGCATTGTGCTTTCAGGGGCGAGATGGTTTAGTTGTACAAGCAAACTGCACTCACCAAATGTGGAAAATGTCAGGCATTATTACTGCTCGGTGTATTCAATATCATGCGCCCAGATGTGGGAATTTTGTGAAATGTGCAGCTGTACTTGTAGCTATGTGGTTATAGTGCAGCTGTGAGCAGACATATGAGACTACTAGAATTTCAATAAACCTCGATCCCTAGAGATACCTCCACGATTGATAACAGCTTAAATTTCATTTATTAAGAGGACTCCACGAATAACCTTCACACTCCTGATATTCAATACTCTCTCAATGCACTTAAACATGTTGAATTAGATTTTGATTTAATGCTTTCGTGACTGCAGGGATTCATATTCTCGGTTTTTACCGAAAGAACCAAGAATATGTTGAATTAGGTTGTTCATGAAACTGTAATATAGTGTTTCAACTCGATGCACATTAAAATATAGTGCCATCTTATTTTGCGGTGTATGTAAGGCACGTCACATTATGATTAGCAAATGTGTAAAGTAACTTAATGAACATCCCATACACCGTAAATCACACCAGGCACCATCATTTTAAAAGGAAAGTAACAGAGGACAACTGCCTTGGTGATCTCATCAAGGAACGTGAACCATCACGCAAACTCTGGTCTTCCTCGCAGCAGCTTTTAGCGAACCATCAAACTAAGCGGACTTTCTCATGCGTTTCTGCAGTCATTGGAACGATATTAGGAGCTATGCGCTTTTAAATCGGGATTGAAAACTAATTCCTGCAGAACTGCTTTTTGTGTTTAGTCTGTTGTCCTTTGACCTTCCCCCCGCAACTCCGATTAGCACTGGTGGCTATGTACGGTGCAAAAGACGTTCAACATACATTATCTCTGAAGAGTTGAAGCGTCACCAAAATCTCCCAAGAAACAAGTGAAGTAGCGGCACGGTAGCCTCTTCCTTGGCAAAAAGTCCCGACAAGACTTGGGGCCCGAGTCATTTTTTTTGTGCGCGCGTGTGTCCGGGGCCGTCGGGGCTGCTCGCGTTCAACTCCGCCGTTGCCCCCCCCCTCCTCCTCCTCCTCCTCCTCCTTTTCCCGCAGCTCATCTTCTCCCAGGACTGCGTGCGCATCGGCGGGAGAGCCTGGCACAGGAAGCACTTCAGCTGCGCCGCTTGCGACGCCACGCTGCCCGAGGAGCCGTGCAGCGTTGACGATGGGGAGCGGCTCCTGTGCCGGCAGTGCAAGGGCAGCGCCGCAGCCGGGCCCCGGCTCGGCGTCTGAGTCCACGCGGTGTCGTCCGGGACGCACGCACGCACTAACGTACGTGTAACACGCACGTTGGTACGGACGTTGGTACGGACGTTAGTACGTACCAACGCGCGCACTAACGTACGCTAACACGTACGTTGGTACGGACGTGCGCGACCGTCGTTGTGACCCGGCGGGTGACACCAGCTTATGGCACACACAAAGCGGTGAAACCCAGCCGACAAAGAGCAGTGTGAAAGACCAGAATATGAGAAGCGTCATATGTACGGTGCAAAAGACAAGTGTCATATTCGAATCTATCATCCCAGTGCAGCGTATAGGACCAGCTCAAAAGACGAACATTTGAGTCTACTGTCTGAGATCCAAGTATATGATGAGTGTCATATGCTCGAAATGCAAGAACAGCGTGCATGAGCAGTGTTATATGACCGGCATTGAACCCTAACACCTGAGTTAAGATTATGATACCGGCATAACGGATGAGCAGTGAAACGCAGCGTACAATAGCGGTGTACGAGACCAGATACGACGAGGGTCCGAGATAGCAATACAAGAACGGTGTGCACGGTCGCCATTTACGCTGAGCATATGAGGCCAGCATCCAAGAGCAGAATTGGAATCTCTTGCTCGAGATCAAAAGAGGTCAGGATAAGAGACAATAATTTAATCCCAGCCGATGAGATCACCATACTTGATCAGCATATGAGACCGGCGGTTATAATCTATTGTCCCAGACCGGCGTATAGGACCAAAATGTGAGACCAGCTTTCAAGGTGAACATTAGAATCTACTGTCTGTGACTGGAGTACAACACCTACCTGCATATGAGACCAACTTATGAGACAGAGTTACGATCTATCATCCTCGAAGAGTGTACATGATGACTTAAAGCTTTCGTGACTACGGGAATTCATATTCTTTGGGTCTTTCGGTAAAGCACGTCGATAGGTTATTTTATTTGAACCTATCTACGTGACTTTACCGAAAGACCCAAAGAATAGTGTACGTGATCTACACATGGGATTAGTATACGAGAACAACACGCTTATGTACGGTCTGAATGCAGTATGCAAGACCAACATAATCTACTCTCTCATACTACTGTGCAAGACTTACATGTGTGACCAGAATAAGAGAGCGCATTGTAATCCATTGTCTTGGACTATAGCGCAGAGACCAGCTATAGAAACCAGCTGCTGGTTTCACTTCAACCCACAGCCGCTGAAATAAAGCAACAGCAAAACAAATGTTTCTCTGCAACACAACTAATCAATCTGTGCCGTGGCTGGGGGCTATTTTGGTAACATCTGAAGAGCAGTATTTATCCTGCAGCGCGGTTCGTTTCTACGTTGCGTGCCTTCATGTTGCGTGTGCATTGCGTGTAGGGAGATGAAATCAGGCGCACGTGGGAGTGAGATGGATCGCAGCTGCCCGGGATGGGGATTGATGGTGTACCGATGTAAAACGGCTTCACCCCTCCCAATAGGGATCGCCATTGGCCCGCGTTCATGAGATGCATAGTTTGTGAAGCACTTACCTGATGAAAACATGTCCCGTTCACAACAAATTCTACTTTAGCCTGAACGTGATCACCGTTATAACTATACACCTTTCACCACGCTGGTCGGCGCGGGTTGGTAAAACATGCCAATGTGCGTGTGTGTTCCCAAACTTGTGGCAAATCAACGAAGCCATGGGTTTGAGTTGTTTGCTCAGGATGTGAATCTGGCCTTTTGACTTAATCTAAAAAAAACTACGGCAAACCATTTGAATCCGCCCTTGTGAAATGTGGCGAACTTGCATTCGGATCGTAGGCGTGTGCGGGTAGCAGCGATTGGTCCTTGAGGGTTAACGTTTTCGGGGCTCATCTTTGTTCCAGGGCCACGTGATTGCCCTGGGAAAATTGTGAGTTTCCCAAACGGCGGCCGTGGCAGGGGTTTAATGTTCTGGTCAGATCACCGTAGCAGGCAGTGTCTCGATCACAGCCACCGCCGAGATGTTTCTCGCCTTCTCTCATCCGTTATCACTGCTGCCGATTCATTCATCTCGTGTCCACCCTGCCGTACCAACTTCGGTCAATCAAATCATTCGTGGGCGCAAAGGCACCGATGCTTAAATCGCCAGCCGCGGCGCGGCTCCTCTGGCAGGCGACAACGGGAGCAGGCGAGGCGTTCTGATCCTAACGTTGCTTCTTAGGGGCCATCCATTTAGTAGGTACGCAAACATCTGTCAAAACTTGACCCCTCTCCCCCTCCCTGTACGCACGCGTACTTTTTACACCCCCCCCCTCCCCCCCTGCGTACGTACGCCTGACCACCCCGCCCTCCCCCGAATCCTATAGAACAGCCGATATTTAATCCACGCAGAATCGATCAAGGATCAATAATATTAACGCGTTTAAGCAAACAGATAGTCCACCGCCGGCTGCATTAAAGAATTAAGTTGCGTACCTTTAAAAAGTTTGTCTGGTGTCCGCTAGGTTCAAACGCCGACTGAACCCAGTGGGACAGGTGACGCATTGTAGGGATTTCGCCAACACGCGCAGTGTCAGGCTGCAGCACAGCAGCGTGATGGCTGCAGTCTGCTGGGCCGCCGTCTCAAGATCCACAGCGTCGCTGGCGTCGTCATCATCATCGTACAGAGCTTTTGATTATTCTCACCGCCAGAAGACTCAGGCGTATGAATTGCGCTGGTGTCGTTTGACACTGGCCTGCGGCAGCTAAAACCTTGAGCCAGCGTCAGTCTGCAGTGAGGCCAGATTGCAGGATGTATGGACCCATGGGGCAGGCCGCCAGACTATGTCAGACTCGCTGCTGAGCTGCATGACAGCGAGCAGTCAGGGGAACGGTGGCATACAAGTGACACCTCTCCCACAGTCCTACTTCTCCCGGTAGTAGTTGCCTGACAGCTGAAGACACTGAACTGTGGCTCATTTGAATGCCAATGTAGACACATCATGATCGAGGCTTCACCCCCCCCCCCCTCCCCCCCCCGTTTCCTATGCGTACGTACATTGTCAGTAGACCCCCCCATACGCAAGCGTACGCATTTGGGTTAACACCCCCTCTCCCCTCCACGCGTACGTACTAAATGGATGGCCCATTAATGTCTTAGAGTCCTCAGAGGAAACCTCCCTACGCTTATGATGCCACCCCGCACGGCGTTGACTACATCCCTCTCTATAGAAAATTCCCTCCCATTTAGCCTCAACAACGCGTTTCGTGCTTAAAACGTAAGGGGGCTCAGGCAATGATGTAACTGGGGCAAATGGCCAGATTGCGCCCAGTGTAACAGCCAGGAGTTAGAGTATTTATGAAACTGGCAGGAAAGCGGGAGGTAACAAAATAAAAAAAAACGCCTTCACGATGTCAAAAGCCAGCAATTACCGAGTGAGTGAACACCATCGCACGTATGTTCGGTGACCATATGTTAAGTAACATGGGTTGTCAAGGGGGTCACGTAACGTAAAGTATTACGGGCACCAGTGCTGTAGTGTGCATGCCAATATAGACAATGAAAGAGTGAGCATTGTATGTTAATCACTGCCGGGGCTTAAGTAACAAAAATGCAAGTTTGACTCGATTGGCCAAAAAACATATATTTGCTTTCTTTGGTATAATTAATGTCATTTTAACGTTGCTTATGTCTTCAAAATTAATTGCTGTAGGATCATCTGTTTTAATACTGACTAGTGAGTACTCTTAGGCACCTGTGGATGCTGTGGAATTCCTAAAGGAATGAGTTATCAAATTGTTTCTGAGTTCTCGAGTTTTAAAATGACATTTTTGTTTTTAATTTAAGGTATTTGGAAAACTATTAAACTGTTTAGTTTAAAAAGTTCATATGCAGTTATACACTCGAAGTAATATTTATGAATGGAAACTGAATGTGTTTTTATACATTCATAAAGCTAAGTACAGTATTAGTGAGATGATTGAAAAATTATAATTTGCATTAATGTCTCATATCAGAGACAATGGAATATCCACACAGTGAAAAACTCAACATCTTATAAACATTCATTTCCAAAGCCTTAGCTGCCGACTACCTTCCGCAACAAGTGGTTGCATACGACACGTGGCTTCTAGCGTGCAGCTTTTCCTATTAAGCTCATCTTACATAAACAAAGGGTGCAAAGAAAACTCTGGCTTCCTGAATATATAACAGTCGTAATTTAGCACGCGGTTTATATTTCCCCGATTTTTAGACGGGGGTAGAGGGGGTGGGGGAGCTAGTTTTCATTTTTCGTCTGTGTTGAGAATTCTTTTACTCATTGAATTACTAAAGCATCTCTTTTTTAAGGTACGTGTCAGAAATCTGGATACGTCCTCAGATACATTTGATCTTCCGGCTCCTTGCTCCGTTGGCTCCTGGAGGCTCCATGCACCCTGGAGGACCTCACCAGGGCTACAGACTGGGCCACATCATCACCATCATCACGCGCGCAATACTGGATAAACTTACGACTGCGGTGGCAGCACACGAAATTAACTAGACGCATAATAAAAAAGCATGACCTGGCATTATTTGTAACTGCGTACCGTGTACGGATTTTCATTCGGCGTCAACACGACGTGACGTTGTACAACGTTGTTGTAAAGATGACGCTCATCGGCCAACATCATCAAACACGATGAATCCACCGCTGGATGTAAGATCGCAATGCGCGAGAAATATTCCTGAAGTGAGTCGCGGCGGTCGATGCCCTCCTGCGAGATGCACGCAGTGCACCCCCTGTCGTATCTTTGTGTTTCGTTTGTTGTCCTTCCCTACGTACGCCGCGAAAGCGGTTCAACCTACGTTGCGCGCGTACCGTCGAAGCTCATCACGATCGCTTTGCTTGCTTTAATCCCTGCAGTTACCGATTGCAATTCAATAAAGGGCTCGTGATTTACACACGATTGAGTCCGACCCGTTTGTGCGCGATGCGCTGGGCCCTCGGCAGCAGCCGCAAGGGGCGATGCACCCCCTTCACTTTGCTGCCAGACGGCAAGGGGCACGTGGTTCACACTGTGGCCACTGACACATAGCAACTCAGGACATTTACGGAGTATTAGAAAAGCGCTTAGGGGGTATAAGGAAATAATAGAAACGGTACCTTATTGGAAAATGGACACACGCGATGACATAATTCTCATGCATGTGGACAGTAAATGTTGGTGAATGGCGATGTGTCTTCGTACCGTAGCATCTTCGTAAGTGCAACGCACAGCGAATCAAGTATCCCAAGTTCAATTCTCAGCCACTGCTCACATTCGTGGTGATTATTATCTGAGCTGATCCTGGGCCTTCCCGAGGTCGACTCAGCCTTACATAGTTCCATAGTTCCATTTATTTGGTGTAGCCCTGTGAGCCATTCGGCTCTTGAATCGGGTGCAATCGCAACAAACAAAAAACAAAAACATGAACAAGAAAACATCTTAAAGTGACTATGTGTGACTGTGCAAACAGAAAATCCAGGGAAAAAAACATCAAAATATTCCTGAAATAGCACCGTACACCAACGCTGTGTGCAAAAATCTCGGTACAATGTGTAAAGCCACTGGGGAGACAAAGGTGGCCAGCGCCACCACCTCGCGAGCCGTGCCAGCCTTCACAGGTGCTGGCGAACAACACTGTGTGGGCTATATGGGGGGGTTTTCTTTTGTCAATGTGTGCATTTGTACGTGTGTGGTTTTGAATATACATGACACGTAAAATAAAGTACAGGGTGGTCAAAATATCTTGTGACCTCAAATTAAAGCTCTAAACAAATAAAATGTTTTAAGTAAGGTATATTTAACACAAATGAATATGCAAAGAAAACATTTAGGGGTCAATTAATTGGTGGTCGCAAGACATCTAGACCACCCTGTACATTGCAGCATGCGTGATTTTGCATTTGGAATTCTGTCAACAGTGCCGCGACCATCCTGTGTCTCGGCTTTCAATAGACCTTTGACTTGTCATCTCTGCAGTATGAACGCAAGTGGTGAATGGATCCAGGAATGTATTCATCGTTTTAACACCGTGGCATTTGGAGTTGTCGGAAGAGCCTCGAGAATCCGCGGGACACCAACTCAACACGTACACCGCGAGACCGCCGTCACATCGACACCGTTTCTCGTGGGTTTTAAGCAGCCACTCGCCTTTCAGCCACGCAAAAGGCTGCTGTTGTTTCTTATCAGGCCTTCTTGAACGCCTGCCTCACCCCAGCTCACCCTACCCACCATCCGCTGAACCCCGCGACTCTGCTGCGAACACTCCCACCCCTGCCACCACCCAGCCCTGCGTCCTTCCGCGTGTGAAATCTCGTGGAAGGCTGCGTTCCCTCATTGGGGAGAGGGCTGGTGCGATTCCAAAGGCAAGGCAGGGCAAGAGGGCACAACGGGGGGGGGGGGGGGGGCACGCCTCGTGTCAAGAGGATAAACACTCCGGCACTGTTTGCTATGGGCGTAGTCGCGAGGCTGTGTATGGGGGACATCGAGGGAGAATACAAGGGGTTCATGCATTCGGCATTTAAACCGCCCGGTCTCTTGGCGATCAGCCAATCGACTCAAAAGTTGCACACAGCTTCGGTTTTGTAAAGGTGAGTATTGTATGTAGGCTCCAAAAGACCATTGGGGGCATTTGGTGCCAGCGAGACTTTTTTTTCTCAATTTGTGTGTGTGTGGCTTGAGCGTGTCACAGACGATGCCACACACGTACGGTAGCATTCTGCGTTTTCTTTTTAAAAATGGGATGGGTTTGTTTTTGTAAGTTAAGTGGTGGGGACATGAAGGACGGTTACGTGTGCTCAGCGAATCCAGTGTTAAAGCGCTGCTCTCTGCCTCTTCAAGCAATTATTCGATACTCTTTGGGTTTTTTCGGTAAAGCCACGTAGGTAAAACAACATTAAAATAAAAGAAAACAACTAAATCAAATCAGGACGTTTCGGAGGCAACACAAGCTATTTTTCGATTTAAAGCTTTCGTGACTGCAATGATTCATCTTCTTTGGTTCTTTCGGTAAAGTCACGTAGAATGAGAATAAAATAATAAATTGATAAAATAAAATAACACAATAATATTCTCACGACGTTTCGGCCACAACACAAGCGGCCTTCATCAGGTGAAGGGAGCGAGACTGTCTGGTAGGACAGCGCTGGAGTGAGAGAGCCACGTTCAGATCACGGCTCTAAAGCCGGCTCTAAAGCCGGCTCTAAAGCCGTGATCTGAACGTGGCTCTCTCACTCCAGCGCTGTCCTACCAGACAGTCTCGCTCCCTTCACCTGATGAAGGCCGCTTG